GTAGAGAAAACACACACACACACACAAACCTCTTTGGAGTGATATCTGCAGTCACAAATGTTAGGAAGTGAACTAAAATAGAGCACTACAATTTGCAAGACAAAAACAGTAACCCTGGCTGGTGATTGAAAAAGGTTTGTTTAACATTGAAAAGGACTGGGCCAGTTCACAATTAGCTGTAACATCATGTGATTACATAAAAATAGATCACATTTCATCACCAACATGGGATAAATTGCATTGGAGCTGCCCTTTAAGGTAGTTTATGCCACTGTCCAGTAACTGTGCTGACAAATGTCGTTCCTACATTTAAACAGAACAGAAGCAGTCAATGTTCAGTTTATAGCCATTAGTCATTGCTAATATCAACCTAAAAAATCTCTGCATTGTTCTGCTATCAGTTTCATGTCCCACAACTTCTATAAAAAAGCTGGGACAGAATTTGGTCTGAAACCTTAGAAACTACAGACTTATAGAGATTAATTCTAACAATGTTAATGGATGGAAGAATTTTTTGACAATGGACTTTTCCATCAGTGTTGAACAAAGTGCAGCGTAAATGATTACAACTGTTTATACTGAATGTAGCACTAACAGTTCTGATTTAATATGTTGTCTCTTGCTTCCATCCGGAGAAAGAGAGATCTGCATTTAGATTTCACATACAGCTAACACTTCAGAAAGTATTGGAAAATGGTTAAATATGAACATTCAGCCTTCCCTCTTCACAAACAGCTTTATTGTTCACCTTCTAATGTAACAATGTAATAGAGAAAGAATATTCTGGAAATTGAGTCGGCTCTCGTATTCACTTTAGTGGGCCAAAATAAAGAACCAATCAGATTGGTCCAGAGCAGTCTCTGTATTGGAGGGACAATTCTGGCTTAGCCAGTCCTTAATTCATGCTTCTATGTCCTACAGGTCTTTTTGCTTCACTTCTCTGCTACTTTTTATTTAAATTTTTATTCTCTCAACTATTTCTGGTTCCCCCCCCCCAAAAAAAAATCTTTCCTGGCTTTTCTGCAAACTACTCTTCTTCCTTGATTGCTTGATCTTCTCTCTACTCCTGTGTGTGGGGAGCCTGACCTTGTGACTCAGACAGTGGATGAGTTCTGCAGAGAAGAGAAGACTCCCAATCTCCTTTGAGAATCTTAGGCATCACCGCAGGACCAGATTGGGGGGCCAGCAATCATAGTCAGACATATGCAAGCAAAGGGAGAAGAACGTGTGGCCCATCAGCTTCTTCTGGCCACCGTGTTTAGCAATAATCCCTTGGCCTAACAGGGATACAGTGGAAAAGAAAGAGGAACCACTTAGGTGGTTCCAAGTAACAAGGGTTCAAGTGACCCAGGCTCCTTGCACCTCCTTAGGAATTCACTCCATCTAGAATTACTAACTTCCAGTATTCTGTATAGTAAGCACCTAGTCACCATAGAGGCTGGATGGGACACTACTGTGATCAGATAAAGGACCAGAAAGGGATCTCTCCAACTATACCCTCATACCAGCAGGGAGAGAAGGGACCCATTTCTAGTCTCCTCATTCTCACATCTCACCCGAACTTAATGAATGAGGGGCCTGCCCATCCCAGACCCAGCGGTCCAGGGCCTGGCATCTTCAATTCTGCCCCCTCCCCTTGAGCAGTACTGACTAGGTAAAGGTAAATGTTTCCCTTGACAATTTTTGTCCAGTCGTGTTTGACTCTAGGGGCGGTGCTCATCCCCATTTTCAAGCCATAGAGCCAGCTTTTTGTCCAAAGACAATCTTCCGTGGTCACATGGCCAGTGCGACTTAGACACGGAACACTGTTACCTTCCCACCGAGGTGGTCCCTATTTATCTACTTGTATTTGCATGCTTTCGAACTGCTAGGTTGGCAGGAGCTGGGACAAGCTATGGGTGCTCACTCCGTCGTGTGGATTCAATCTTATGACTGCTTGGTCTTCTGACCCTGCAGCACAAGCTTCTGCGGTTTAACCCGCAGCGCCACCACGTCCCTGACTAGGATGATGTAATTTACTGGTAATACAGTAAAATTGGGACATTACAATACATATGCATATTATATCCATTAATACTATATAATACAGTGGTGGCTCACTTAACGACGTTAATCCATTCCAGAAAAACTGTTGTTAAGTGATTTCATCGCTAAGCGATTTTTAAAAGCCCATAGAAATGCATTAAAATGCATTTAATGCATTCCTATGGGCTTAAAAACTCACCTGTATGCGAAAATCCTCCATAGCGCCACCATTTTCGCTGCCTCTTAAGCGAGGCAAAACAGCGGGTGGCCATTTTGTTTTGTGAGGTTTTTAAACATCCCCGGTTACCCTTTAAAGTTTGCTCCAGGGGGACAGGAAAGGCCGAGGCGTTGGGGCACTGTCCCCTCAGGGAAGCCACAAGCGGGACCCTCGCGGCCCGGCTCCTCCCTAGCCACGCAATCAAGTGGCACCTGCCTCTTCCCGCCTTTGAAGCCCCGGTGGTACCTGAAAAGCAGAGCCGCCTCTGCTACTGCTGCTGACGCAGCGAGTGGAGCTTCCCGCCAAGTTCACCAGACCCGAGTGAGGCTTCTCCTTCAGGAGCCGATGGGGCACTTCTTCTTCTCCCGCCTCCTGCCTGCAGCCTTTTCCTCCTGCATGGGCAGTGCAGGGGTGCCTCGCAGAGAAGAAGAGCAGAGAAGAGCAGGGGTGCCTCGCGGAGAAGAAGAGCAACCAAGCCGCCACCTCGGCTCCCGAGCCCAAGCTGCCTCATGTTCACCAAGGTCGGCAGGGGAGAAGGAGACGCAGAGAAGAAAAGCGCTGCCACTCCTTCCCCCCCGCGCTTCTGCCTCCCCCTCCTCTGGCTGGGATAGGAGCCGGGGCTTCCCGCAAGGGAGAAGGAGACATGGAGAAGAAAAGCCCTAGCCGGCATTTACACCTAGCTGGCTGGCGGGTGTTTCAGAAGGACTGTGGTGGAGCCCTCCCCCATGGTCCTTCTGAAATGCCCGCCGGCCAACTAGGTGAAAATGGGGCCTATGGGGAAAAATCAACATCGCAATGCGATCGCAAAAGCGATTGCAAAAAAGCCTTCGCTATGCGGATTCATCGTTAAATGTGGTGCCTGTTAAGCGAGACACCACTGTATATGATTTCATGCTGTTAAATCATAAAACAATATTATTTATTGTTACCATACTGAATAAGGGAATTACTAATTAACAAATAAGACTTTTTTCTTCTCTACTTGTTTATCAAGAAACAAACTGCTTAAAATAACATTCATCCTTTTCTCCTTTTACACCATTCTGTAAAAGCTTCTGTTGTACAATATATTGTTACTCTCGTTTGTTTAACACAGATTTCCACCTTTATCTCTTTGTTAATTAACATTACAGATAAAATACAACAAATCATCATTTTAAATTATAAAATAACAATTTCTGTTCTTATCTGTTCAGATTAAGTCAGTGTTCTATTATTTACTTTTCGTGACAGCTGGCACAAATGGAATTAACTACTTCTGCCTTGTTATCTTGTCAGTAACTGTGTTCCAAACAAACTGTACTTACTTCATAAACTATTCTCCAGGCTGTAGTGTTTCAATTGCACTTTCACTTTTAATGTAACTCCAATGCATCTTTAAATGAAAAGTTTTCATTTTCATTTTAGTGCAACACCTCTGCACCCTATAAACTCATTTTTTTAAAAAAAATATATATATTAACATATGGTTTTGTGGGAGGTGTAGACTTCCTGCCTGTTACATACAGAGTTTTCCCAAAGAATTACAACACTCGCAAAGACCCAGACTTTGTAGAAAGCAATGGGGCACTTTCATTTATTGTACAGGAAGTAGGCTCAAGATAGCCTGAAAGACAGATCCTCTTCCAGGTAAAGGAAATGTACATATGTTTAAGTGGGTAGGAACTCCCAGAATTCCGCCTTGAGAATTCTTAGAGAATTAGGGGAGTTAGAGTCAGTTTTTAAAAAAATGAATGGCAGACCCTTAGAACCCATATAAACCACACATCCAACTTCTCAGCAGATTTCACAGTCTCCTTTAAACAAATATTCAATCCATTTCCAGATGTCCTTTTCTACAACATTAAAAACAAATATCCATATGTACCCAAAATGTTCCTTTTAAGTAACAGCAGAAGGAAACCAAATTCTGAAAGATCTTGATAGGCTTTAGAGCTGGGCTGAAAACAACAGAATGAAATTTAACAAGGATAAATGCAAAATTCTGATGTACTTTAGCTTGGATCCCTGCACTGAGCAGGGGCTTGGACTCGATGGCCTTACAAGCCACTTCCAACTTCACTTTTCTGTGATTCTGTGACATCCTCCCTACTCTGAATGGTCAAGCTACCATTCAAGGAAATGTCTACTCTTTTGTCTGTAATTGGTTCTCTCTGTTTTCTTTTGCTTCTTCTATCATTCTGTTACACTGTGTTGAGCTACAGGCTTGGAGGCAAGGCTGGCTAACCCAGGGCTCACTTTCCAAAACTGAATGGTTAACTTTTCATTCCTGCTTGTCAAAGAGAAAAGGAGGCACATCCCAGTTTCCGGATATTCTCCTTCTATTACGTAAAATGAACATATCACTGTATTATCTTTTGTATTTCAGTATGTCATTCAGATCACATAATAAGAAACAAAATTGTTATAAGGTAAAATAAAATGGAAGAGAAATAGAAGAAGGATTTATTGGTTAAAGCATTTTGAAGTTTAGTTTTGAAGAAGCACAGCTTCATCGTTTAGAGTTGCTGCATCCAAAGTCACAATAGTTACGATTGCATCCAGCTTCTAGTAGAAGAAGAACGATAACAAGAAGTCTTATGATTTTGAGGTGATAAAATTAGCCAAGTGCCTGCTTTCAGTGCAGAAACTGGAACTGGGGCTCTGCTGGCTTTCTGATATTAAAAGTGGTGGAAGCTGTTCTGTATTTCATCTTTTAATTTCCAGAAAATTGTGGTGGTGGGCTCTGTCCTATACTATGTTCTTTCCTCTTTCTTAGATACTTGAACTGAACAAACGCATGTCAGCTATTGAACGCTTGCTGAACCGTCTTGAGGAAAAGATTCTGGTTCACCCAGAAGAGGTAAAATAAAGAATAAAGATTTTTTTTGACAGTCCAAATATTTTATACATGCAGTGGCAGATATGGCAGATTGTGATGATGGGTCCAAGGGAGACAAAAGAAGAGAGTTCCAGGAAGACAACTGAGGAATGCTTTTGGGGGGAAGGGAATGCTCTGTCATTGGATGTACATCTGACGTCAGTGACGGCTTATACTGGGGTAGAAAGAAGGAGCTGGGAACATTGTAAGAGAAGACAGAGGAGATATCTCTTTCATTCCCTCTACTATATTTCAGGCTAGAGCAGCAGCTCCCTCAGAGATGGAAGAAAAACAGCTCTGTGGGGTAGAATGGGAACAAATAATGCCTGCCATCTCCTCTCCCTCACCTGGAAACTAGATCTAATTAAAACCTTTGTGTACTCCTGAGTAATCTTGTTCTTTTTTAAAATCAGTTCATGTAAGGCAGGGAGACACGTAGGACCTATGGAAGGAAGGACAAAAACCTTTCAGCTAACCGCATTTCTTCAACCAGACCCTGAAGTCCAGTGGACCCCTCAACTAGTGCAGACAACCAATACAACTGGGTAGGGCTTGCCTCTAGCCAGCTCTTGCTGGAAATATGTCTGTATCACATGGCAGCCCAGCCATTTTGCTAAACTGTCCTGAGAAACATAGACACCTTCTCCAAGCAGGAAATGGAGCACTGTAGATTTAGAAAGCATTCCAAATCATGAATGTTTGGTTCCTACTGCTGGAAGACCTGGCCAGTGTACCACACCCCACAGTCAGGATGGATTCTTGGGCCTGACTTTCTAGGACAGCACAGCATTCCCGAATGCCCAATAGAGATTCCATCACTGGTGAAAACAATTGATGGTTGACCCATAACCTCTGGGCCTGTGAGTCACCAGACCATCCCCAATCAAATGACACTGTGGAATCACCTCAGTTGTACCTAGCCACGATTTCCCACTTTGCCCTCATACTCACAATGTCACAGTTGGCATGTCATGACCCCTGAGCAAACTGTTCAAAAAATCCAGTTACCTTATTATTAGAGATTGGGACGAAGCACCATGAACCACAACCCCCCCCCATTACCCAAGGAACAACAAATCAATTAGTCATTTGTTGAGTCCTTTTTTTTCTTTTTACTTTTGCTAACCCCCCTCCCGGGGCTTAGCAAGAAGGGGGAAAGCAGGCATCAAAGCAATCCTGCAGCGGGCGGGGGATCCCTTTGATCACTTCCCTCCTTAGTCATTCATTGGGTCTTTTTTTTTTTTTTTGCTTTCCCTCAAGAGGAGGGAAAGCAGGAATCAAAGCAATCCTGCAGCACTTTGAACCTTGCTTTCCCCCTCTACTCACTAAGCCCCCTGGAGTTTAGCAAAAGGAGGGGGGAAGCAGGGATCAAAGCAATCCTGCAGTGGATGGGGGATCCCTTTGATCCCTTTCCTCCTCTTTGATGCCATGCAGGCATAGGAAGAAGAGGAAAGGGGAACCAAGCCATCCCCCAGCCCCAGGGGTGGAATTCCCTTTGGGCACACTTTAGCAAGCCACCCGAAGGGAAAATCCCTCTCTGCTTATGCCCCACGAGGGCATAAGCAGAGAGAGAACAAAGGGATGAATGTAAAAGGGTTATAACAAACGGATGAATGTAAAAGGGTTATATTCTTTGCTTCGTATTCGTTGGGGTCTCTGGACTCCAAGAATGTGGAGCAATGAATATCTGATGAATCAGGGATATTTAATGAATATCCTGATTCATTTTTATATTTGTTCCCATGTCTACTTATGATCCACTTATTGCCATGCACACTGCCGCCCAAAGATGGGAGCTTACTGGCTTTGGCTCAGGACCAGGATCTTTTTGTAGCCTTGCCTATGAAGTGCCAGGACTTCTGCTGCTTGTTCAGCAACAAGGAAATGGATCATCTGCCCTCCCATTCATTGTATTTGCTGCCAGAGGCATCATTCCCTGTGGAGCAACTCTGTTCTATTATCAGAACTGCATCTGGCTACATTCTGGGACTTTCTAGTCAGAAAGTGAAAGTGCAGGTTCATTAGTCCTTTCCTACCCGTAGTGGCCATCCCAATATTATTTGTGAAAAGAAACAAGGGGAAAAGAGGTGGTGTAATTGCCGAAGAGCCATTAACTTCATCACTGTTCAGAAGGAGTACATCTGGCCATCAATCTTGGAACATGTGGAATGCCTGCAGGAAGCCAAGATCTGCATCAAGTTGGACCTGTGAAATGTCTAACAAATTAGTACCAGTGAAATGCATAGGCAAGCCATTCATATTGTGCAATGGTCCAGTGGTCTTCAAACATTTCATGAACAATATGCTTCATAATCTGTTGGACCATTCTGTGATAATCTGCTATGATAACATCCTCATAAATTCCTGGTCCCCACAAGATTATTTTACAACACATCAACCATGTTACAATAACTGTGTGAGCACTGTGCCCACACAAAATTGGAGAAGGATGGTTTTGACCTCCCAGCTGTACTTCATATTGTGGTGGTAGGAATGCATTCAAGAAATAAAGGAGAGTGGATGGCAACATGGTGTGTGGTCTTTTCCATGGAGCCCTACTGTTGTTGGCAGGGGTCTGTCCTCACCTTCCTCATCTCACTTGCCTCCCTTCTGCCTCCCCAGAACCTGACCTTTTCTATCTGCTGGTGGAGTTGACCTAGTCTTTTTGCCTTGGAGGCCCTAGTTGCAACTCTGACATCTTTCCTCCCTTATAGCAGAGGTCCTGGGCGGGGGTAGACTGGGGCAAAGAGACCAGTCTCAGCCAGAAACGAGCAAGTCAGTGGGGTGGGGACTTCTATGGTGCATGCTAACATTTAACTAAATACTGCATTAAAAATTAGCAATTGTTTGGTTTTTCAAGCCCTTTTATAGTTTCATTAGTTTTTTCCCTTCTTGGGGGGGGGGTGTCACATACTTCTTGCCACCAAGTTTGTGGTCACCAACTGGACTCTATCTGGCACTGCAACCATTCAAAAAGAGTTCCAAGTGTTTCACCAAGATTTGGCATTCCAAATGCTTGGTCTTCCTAGGAGACACCAACAACACCCAGACATGCAGACATTGGAGAGTATTCACTCCTCAAGGGAGGAAAAACTGTGAAGTCAGATTAAGAAAGATCCTCTAGCATTAGGCAATTCAAGATTCAGACACCCTTATTCAAAACCCCCTTCTCTAAATACTACGTATTAGGAAAAAAGACATCGGCAGAAACTACAACAGCATTGTTAGTATTGAACCTGCTGATTATAATTGCCTCAGTGTCGGTATTTTCAACACCTTTTTGACTCCTTCCCCTTCTATATTCAAACTGATGGCTAAATGGAAAGTGATGGTTGTGACACCTGAATGCAAGTACAAAAAGAGGGGGCAGAAGGATAAGAAACAGAAGGACCTTCTACCCGTACTGGATTGATTGCCTTCATAAACTATACTTTCAGCACGGCTGCCACCATCTTTGACATTGAGGGATCCCAAACCCATTCCCCCCCATCTCTATCAATAGTTCCAGTTCCAGAGGTACTCCTCCCCTCCTCAGATACTGATCATCAGGATAACCAACAGATACAGTCTTTAATGGTGGAAATATAACGCCCAGTGGCAGTATCCCAGTCTGAATGGGAAATCATTGATACTGCTTCTCTGGTTCAACATAGTGAGCTTCAACACTTGAAACTGAGTGACACCCAGGACTGATCTTTGCCTGAGTAGAGATGGCACAGATCCTGCTAGCTTGGCAGGAAGTACCCATGCCACAATAAAGTCAGGAACCCATTGGCTTTATTCTGGCATGGGCCCTTTCTGCAGAGCTAGCAGGAAGAACTTAAAGACATAAGCAGCTTCTCATTGACCAATGTCAAGAGTTAGCAATCTTTGGGTCCCATGGGCTACTGCATGTAATATGGCGTGTCAAAAGCCATACATACATGTTCACATTCGTGTACATGCAGGTACATGCACAATCATCTTAACATGTAGGAATGTGGAGGTTTAAACCTCTTCTTTGTGCCTCCTCAGTTTGGGTGATAGAACTGTCAGTAGAGAATGGGGTTCAGGAAATGACATGGAAATTTTGTCCAGAATACAGCCAGTAATTGAAGTGATCCAATTGCAGGTTGAAAGTTAACTACCCTTTCTATACTTTTCATTTTTGTTCTCCTTTCTGTTCATTGATGCTATTTATTGGCAGCCCATGTAAGATGTAAATGGACCTTAAACATTTATTGACAACACAATGATTGAATGGTGTCATTCCCTTCCAGGTAAAATTTTGCCCTCCACAGGGGTGATTCCCATTGGTTTTACTCCTTCATATTCTAGCCACTCTTTCCTTCTAGCCAAATTATGTTGGAAGAACATCAGCTATAGCAGAGTTTATCTATTTCAATAACTCTCCTCATGATTTAGAATACAGATTGTGCAAGATTCTAGATCAATGTGGATGCTGGCACGAATAGGGACATCAGTTCCCCGACATGGTTGTGGGAAAAGTGAATGTGGCGACGGTAGAGTAGATGGGTCAACACTTCCCTTCATGTAGTTCTAATCATGTGGTGAATAACTTCTGAATCAAACTGTGGTCTTCTGTAAATACTTAAGTGCTGTTATTATTGTGATGTGCCATCAAATCCCATCCAACTAATAGTGACCATAATAAGGGGTTTAAGGTATGTGAGCTATTTAAGGAGTGGTTTTACCATTGCCATCCCACCCATTAAGTTTCCATGGCTGCACAGTTTTTCCAACTGCTAGGAAGAAGCCTTATATTCACTCGTTGTAGCTAGCCTAATATAGCCACAAGACTTTTGGCTGGAACTGTAAAGAGACACTCCTTGTCTTCACAAATTCCAGTAGAGCTATTCGGTGCCATCTGAATTCAACTATTAATTATATTCTATCTAATGGGATGGAAAAGCAGTACAAAATGTTGTTAACGATTAAATAAAATAGTACTCATGGTAGGTAGGTGGGGCTCGTCAGCCATGGAAGGCAGCCCATCTAGGAGAAGGAAAACTCCAATTTCAAACCTCCACTGCCTTGTGGCTATATCCACTCATGGAAAAGGCTTCAAGAGTTAACCTCGAGGCAAAATCCGGAGCTGGAGTCCCGAAGGCAGCTTGTGTCGTTCTGCCAACTCCTGCGACGTTGCTGGAACCAGTTGTATTGGCTCTTGCCTTTCCATTGGACCATTTCAGCAATGTGGAGAGGGGGGATCTGCTGCTTGGGTAACAGCCTATCCTCCATATTACCTTACCCGGGCTTCATGCTCTGGAGAGGACACTCCTCGATTCAGAGCATGTTACCATAGTCTCTCGAGACTGAAGGATGCCTATGCTACTCATGGTGGTAAAAGTGGTGGAGGCGGGTGGTTCATTTTGTTTAACCTAGTAAGTCCCTGAATAGACGCATGCCATTTGAGCCAGGTAAAAGAGAAATACATGCAGAATTAATTTTATTTTCCCTGGTCTCCGCTGGAACGGCTCCTCAGTGTTCAGTGTCAATAGAAAGAAACACGATAAAATCCAGGCAATGAGGGATAACCACTAAAATGAATTTGTTAGTTCATTGTTCCAGCTGAGGTCTAATTAGTCCAACGTTTAAAAGGTAAATAGGAATGTGCCCACTGAAGTATTGAAACAGTTGGATGAAACATACTATGTAATACATCTGAGTGTTGCTTGCTATTCTGCTAGTCTCAGGCTGATCCCAGCACAGAAGAGAAGGAACTAAAGAGAAAACTAGAGGAGCTGGCTAATAACATAAGTGACAAAGCACTTTCTTCAGAAGAAGATGGAGAGGGGGAAAAGAAGAAAGAATCAAAACCAGAAATGAGTTCATCCAGTGATGATCTTCCTACGGCTACCAAAAAGGTATTGCATTTTCCGTTTGACTTGCCTCTGCTTGCACTTATTAAATTTTACAGAACTTATGTTCATGCATCTGAAGTTATATGCAGTGTGACTAAACTAATTTATTAATGCAAGCAAGCTTTGGGGTACATTTACATAACCTAACCATGCCTCTTGTAGGTGCTGCTATCTGACTGCTAAATGGCTCTGTCTACCTATCTGTCCGTCAGTCTGTTTATCTATCTATCTTCCCACATAGTACTGTTATTTGTATCCTGCTTTTCAAGATAAAAATACTTCAGGGTGGATTACAGATGAGCTAAAGATATGTAAATAAAGACCTTTGTAAACAATATAAAGAAGAAGAACACATAAAGCCATCTTGGGTCCTTTTGGGGAGAAAAGCAGCATATAAATAACGAAATAACTAAATAATGAAATAACTAACAAAAGAAAGAAAGAAAGAAAGAAAGAAAGAAAGAAAGAAAGAAAGAAAGAAAGAAAGAAAGAAAGAAAGAAAGAAAGATGAGCACTTATTGTGGGTTGGTGCAGATCATCCAGTCAGACTCACAGGTGTGTGAGGGTTCCACACACTAACTCAGGGGAGGAGGAGGGTCAGGGAAGCCCTTGGTGCTGCTTCTGATGAGGCAGCCATGGGAGGAGGCAGGGTGCAGAATGCCTGCACAACACCTGTGGGCCCAATTGGTCAAACCACACCAACCCACCAGCCCATGGTAAGGACCCATCCTTCTGGGCAGTGGATGACAGAAGGCCCTATGGGACCTTCCCCCTATGAGAGGGGAGGACAGGACAGCTCAACCAAACCCCAAGGAGGTTCTTCCTGGCCTGCCTGCCTCTTCTTCCCATAGAGCAGTTAAGGGCAATAGTGCTGTATGGGAAAGGTAAGAGTACGCTCAACCCAGAACCTCAGATGGTTTTCTCTTGGCTGCCTCTTTCCTTTCCTTGGAAAAATGGCCTGTTTAGTTGTTCCCACATGATGTTGTTGTTACATGCTGTCATGTCATTTCTGCTGTATGGCACCCTATATTCCAGAAGGCCCTGTCTTCATGAGGCTTTCAAGGCATGAAATAATTCAGAATAGTAAATAATATGTGCAATAGGAAAAAGGGTTGGCTTGAGTATCAGTGCCATTATATATGAAAGATCCTCTGCCACTACTGCTGCTGCCACCCCAATAGCTGTTCTTCAAGAATTCACCACTGGAACGATCAAAACTCTGCCGCTGATGCAGTTGTTTACCTTGTTCAATGACCCAGCCTTGACCATTCCACCTTGGGTGACCCTTCCTCATTGCTGAGATTCTTACTAGAGACAGACTCCTAAAGGTATGATTTTCAGCTTCTTTGGCACACTAAAACTCATGCACCACATTAAGAGGTGTATCAAAGAAGATAATAACCCAATTACAATCATCTACTGTGTTTCTTTGAAAATAAGACAGGGTCTTAATATTAGTTTTTGCTCCAAAAACGCATTAGGGCTCATTTTCAGGGGATGTTTTATTTTACAGTCCTGTTGTCTTCTTCTGGTTGTTGCACAATGGTGGAGGGCGGAGTTTCACTTAACTGGGGCTTATTTTGGGGGTAGGGCTTATATCACAAGCATCCTAAAAAATCATACTAGGGCTTATTTTCAGGTTAGTTCTTACATCCACTTACTTAGTTATGTTAAAAGATTATTTTGTTCATTTTCAATAAGGGTAAGATAGGGGTATGGGTACCAGGGCATAGGAAGGGAATGGATAGGGAAAAATTCCAGAGAGTGAAAGAGTATTCTTACATCCACTTACTTAGTTATGTTAAAAGGGAAATCACATAGATAAACAATCTAACAATTTTAGATGGTTTATCTATCTTAGATAAACTAACAATTTTTAAAGATCTTTGCATCTCTCCCCATTCCTTTGGACCTTCTTGTACTTCTTTTACCTATACCTTCTAGTCCATATTTTGGATCCAGCTACAGAGTTGTTCCCATTTTTAAAGTCCTTTTGAAGTGATCTTTTATTTAGTGCTTCCATTAGTACATCCATCTCCTCCACTTCCATTGTCTTTTCTGTCAGTTCTTCCAGAGACAGTACCTCTTTCTTCCAATATTTTCCATATAGTATTCTTGTTGCCATAATTACATGCATCATCAAATATCTCATTTCTTTACCTACCATTTCAGTCATAACATTCAGCAAAAATAGTTCCAGTTTAAATGTTATCACATAAATGTTTTTGCAACATTTCATGTATTGATCTCCAATAACTTTTAGCTTCCCTACCTGTCCACCAGATATGATAAAAAGCACCCACCTGCATTTTACATTTCCAGCATTTGTTGGAGATATTATTATACATTTTAGACAGTTTTGTTGGAGTCATATGCCATCTATAAAACATCTTATATATGTTTCCTTTAAAGTTTTCTGATTTTGTAAGTTCAATATTATCCTGCCAAATTTGTGCCCACTGTTCTAAGTTGATATAATGACCAATATTTTGTGCCCATTTTATCATACAGTCTTTTGCCACTTCATCTTCCATTTTTATATTTAAAATATATTCATACATTCTTTTAATTATCTTATCATTTGTCCCTAACAGTACCTTGTCAAATGCCATTTATTCTTCATAGAAACCTATGATTTTGTCTTTTCCATACCTGGAGTCTAATTGTAATCTCATCCACAAATCTAAGGAGTTTTTTCCTCCTCTAACTCCTCTTTAGACCTTAATGTTCCTTCTTTCTCAAGTAGCTCTTTGCATCTTACCAGTCTTGTTGAGTCCATTAAAATAGGTTGTGTGAATACTTCTAGTGGTGACACCCAGCCCAGGATTTTATTATATATTTTTGTATCTTATTCCAAGTATATAACAGAGATTTTCTTATCATATGGTTATTGAAAACTTTATACTCTTTAGCTTTTTGATACCATATAAAGGAGTACTATCCGAAATTGAGGTCATGCTCCTCCAAATTGAGCAGTCTCTCATTATCCAGAGTAATCTTTAATCCACACCAACGCACAAACTCTATAATAATTTTCCCAGTCTGGAAGGCCAAAGCCCTTTTTTAGTCTTGTAATGCCTTCATTTTGATCCTTGGTTTTTTCCCCCCACAAACAAATTTCATTATTTCATTAGTCATCTAGTATTATTAAAGCTGCATGAATCCACCTGTATATGGAGGTAACATGTGAGAGATTGGTCATAAGAGTTGCCTTGGGATGAGAGGGCAAAGGAAAACCTATGATCCTCCATGGCATTAGACTGTATGTGGCTAATCCATTCTCTCAACTGCCTTCCAATGTGAATTGTGTTAATGTAGCATTTCACTATTCATCCAAGTACAGTGGTGCCCAGCTTGACGACGATAATCCGTTCCAGGAAAATCGCTGTTAAGTGAAATCGTCATCAAGTGAAAAAAAACCCCATTGGAATGCATTGAAAACCGGTTAATGCATTCCAGTGGGGAAATACCTCATCATCCAGTGAAGACTGCCCATAGAGAACCACCGATCAGCTGTTTAAAATTGCTGTATTTCGAAGCAGGGGTTCGGAAAACAGCCATTTTGTGAAGGAAAGCCATTTTGTGGAGCCGGAAAAAAGATTGTTTTGTGAACAAACAGTTCGTGAAGCAGGGACTTGATCAACGTAAAGCAGATTTCCCCCATAGGAACCATCATTTTATGATTGCAATAGCAATAGCAAAAAGTCATTGTCAAGCGATTTCAACATCATGCGGCTAAGCGTCTAAGCAGGGCACCACTGTAGCTTCTTCAAACTGAATGAGTAGTGAAAAGTTTCAACCTAACAAGAAAGAAGTCCAATTGCCATGACTCAGCTTCCAGGTAACCATACCTGGATGACTGACAATCTTCACAGATGCCTTAATGAATTTTTTTTACTTCAGTGGGACATACCACACAGGTTTTCCTTCCATGACAAATAGCAACTTTAAGGAAGTGGTGGGTGGAGTGTTCTCATCATGAATGTAGAACAAGAGATGTATTTAAAATGTGCATGTTTCAGCAGTGAAGTGCCCATTGAATCTAGCCTTCAGAGATGATTACAGTTTTAGAAAAAACCTGGTTGCAATCTCTCACTGAAACATGTAGTTTCACTGTCAGCACTGCAATTCTAACAAGAGATGGGCACAAACTGCCAGTTCAGCTGTTTATCTGGTTTGTCTTTTGGCCAAACAGACATTCAGAGATTCCCAACTTCGCCTCCTCAGGTGGATACCCACTCAGATGCAGTGCCCCAGCTTCCCTGCCCCACCTCCGCCAGATTCTGTTTCCGAATGGAGTGCCTACTGAAAGGGGCATGGCTTAGAACTGCTGAACAGATGTTCAGCCGAAAAACTGTCACGAACTGTGAAACTGGCAACTCATGCTCATCTCTAATTCTAATTATGCTAATTATGAATTAAGAGAAATTTGTACCGAATAGAGTTTTACTCCGTGACCACATCTACTGTTCCAGATACTAAAAGCAGGTGCCAAAGCTGTTCACGCAAACTATTAACTTAATATAGAGAAAACAGGTTAGGTTTTGACACACGGCTCTCTGTCAACCTGTTATTTTCACCCATTTTCCAATTACAACTCTCAAAAATAAGGCTTCTCAAATTTTCAATAGTAATGAATAGCATAACTAACTTAAATATACTTGTTAGTTTTTATGTCTGTTCAGCACAGTGGAACCTTCTTCTAACAAAATATGTTTATGGTTACGTTTTAAAATCTCAACAAGGAGGTAATAGCAGAGTGAAAATGGATAAAATGTTCTTGTCCAGCCTGGCTTAGGAGAGTGTTAATCTATCAGCAAAAGGGGTTCATGCATTTTCAGCTTTGCCAGATCCATTAGCCTACATGGGAAGATCATTTTCTGCAACCTGGAAAGCCTTCACAGAATAAATATTCTTGACCATTCTTAATGCACTGTTCCAAGCCTCTACCATTTTGAAGCAACTACTAATTATGTGTTTCTTCCTCTGATTTCAAGATGTGATGGACCTGTGCTGATAGTTTTGGATGATGTCCTTATTATATCACAAAAAAGGATTCATATATAAAAGGGCAAACAAGTGTGTTTTCTACTGAGAGGATCTCTTGGTTAGTGTTCTTCCCTCAGAGAAGTCCATTAATTCTAAACAAAGGTTTGAATTCCTTTGGGTTTCTAATAGCTTCTTTGTCAGTATTTGCAGTCTTACCTTTGTGAATGACCATCATGATTTCCCTTTCAGTGAACAGCTTTAGTGTCACAGGAGTGATCTTGAGCCAGGCTACTTACATGCATCTGTGAAAAGCTGCTTTCATCTTCATCTAAAAGATAGCAGGAACTCTGTTCTTATGAGATCTTTTACACTGCTCATCTACATTTGGATAAGAAATCTTTGAAATTGTAGATGACATCAGAAGATAAAATGCAGGTTAGAGAAAAAGATAATCAGTGTATGTTAGTGATAAATCATTCCTCTCACCCTCCTCAGTTCAGAAGTAGCTTGGATAAATTGGACTCTTGACCTGGATATCTGAACTAGGTTCTCATTTTTTTTGAACATCTTCCCCCCCAATAGGACTTGAAAGGTTCCCAGGGACTAGAGAATGGTAATTACATCATTGTTACATGACAGGGCCTGGAGACATAGAGATGCCAGTGCATCTTTCACAACATGGTGTCTTCTACATGAGATACTGAGGGCAGCTAAACATCATATTAGATAGTGCTGTCACTTAGGATGCAACTAGATTTGAACCAAAAGGACATGTAGCAGCCAACATGCACACAGATGAAAGGAAAGTCTAATACTATTCACATACAGGTTGGAACATGGAATGTGAGAATTATGAACCAAGGTAAACTGGAAACTGTAAAGCAAGAAATGGACAGTTTAAACATTGCAGATCTTGGTGTCAGTGAACTAAAGTGGACTGGAATGCAACCTTGCCAGTTACACAATTACAAAGTATTTTCCTCTGGAAATGACAAAATCAGAAAAAAAAGTTGGTATGTGGCACCAGCAATTAGGGGATATACTGTATCCAAGTAACCTCATTTTACTTGATTATTCCTAGATTTTCCTACTTTCCTATTAAGTGACTTCCAGGTGGTCCAAAGTCATCTTCTAGTGGGAGACACTCTTCAACGTTCATCCATTCATCAATGTGTGTTGTTTTTGTTCTCCCTGGGTTTAGCCTAGCCTCTTCTGGCTTAATATTTAGAGCTTGAGATGTGTGCAGAAAAGTTTTCCCCAATTGTAGCCACTGTCTAGAGGGCTGGTGTCCATGAAGTAGATTAATTTGGTGCTGTATTATCTTATTCTGTTTATTTTATGGTAGCACCTCTTGTCATACTTCTGGAGGGCAATGCCAGTCAAATAATAGACTTTTTCGGTGGGGGTAGATTTCAGGCAGCCAGTAATAATCCTCCATGATTCGTTAAGAGCTACATCCACTTGTTTGGCATGTGCTAATTATATCATACAGCACCAGCACATTCTGCTGTGAAGCAGCACAGGAACAAAACTGTTCTTATTGTTCATGGTTGTGCACCACAATTTGACCCATCCAGTTTCCTAAGTATACTTCCTGGAAAAGTGGGAAATCATTGGGCATCCCCTGGGCAAGGTTGTGCAGCCAGCCCATCCTTCACTTCTAAGAAGTGTTCTTTGTTGGCTTTCAAGGGAGGCACAGTTGCTTGAGAAACCAAAGGAATGATATCTCACAGGGTAGTGTCCTGACACCATTAAGTTTTTAACATTTATTCAAATGATCAACCAACACTCCCATACTCCAAGAGTTTCATCTGTACTGATTATCTTGCCTTGACATTTCAGGGAGAAACCTTTGAGGCTATAGTATACTAACTAACCTCTACATTAGAAGATCATTTCTTATACTGTCAGAACAGCTGAGACCAAACATTTTAACAACACAGGTCTGTATCTTCCACTCAAAGAACAGAGGAGCAGAGAACTGTTGGTGGGACTGAGACAAAAGCCTCCCCTGATTATCTTAACTCCTGGGCAAGCTCATAAAGGGAGACATGATCCCTGAGATAGCTTGGATCTCTCCTTGCTCTGCTTTGGAAGTCTGCATTCAATTTTCTGTAACTTTCCCTATCTCCCTTGCATTTGGTTTCCCTTCTAAGCTATTTGTAAGGCCTCGTTGGACAGCCACTTTGCTTTCTTGCATTTCCTTTTCTTTGGGATGATTTTTGTTGCTGCCTCCTGGACAATGTTACGGGCCTCCATCCATAGTTCTTCACGCACTCTGTCCACCAAATCGAGTTCCTTAAATCTGTTTTTCACTTCCACTGTGTACTCATAAGGGATTTGGTTTAGAGTATACCTGACTAGCCCAGTGGTTTTTCCTACTCTCTTCAGTTTAAGCTTGAATTTTGCTATGAGAAGCTGATGATCAGAGCCACAGTCAGCTCCAGGTCTTGTTTTTGCTGACTGTAAAGAGCTTCTCCATCTTTGGCTGCAGAGAATATATTCAATCTGATTTCGGTATTGCCCTTTTGGTGATGTCCATGTGTAGAGTCGCCTCTTGTGTTGTTGGAAAAGAGAGCAATTGTTCTTAGCAAGTGTGAAATTGATGAAGGAGTCTAATGAGAATGGTGGGATTTCATTAGGGAGGCATTTGCTATGTTGGCAGGTATGGACATGCTGTAGCCTTGTCTCAAAAGGGGTGCATTCTGGTTCAAATTCATTCTTTGTGGAAAGGGCCAAAGCATACATTTTGCCTACAGAAGGTCCCTAGCATCTACAGATAGGACTGGAACAATGTTGTGTGAAGCCGTGGGGAGAAAGTAGTACCTTTGTAGTAAGCGTAGATAGTACTGTGAGGGGCCAATTGTCTGACTTAGTGTAATATAGCTTCCTAGCTTTGTTCTTTCTGATAGATAAGAAGTCTCTGGTGTTGCCTATCATATGGGAATGCTGTATATATGTATGTATGTAACACTTTCCTCAGCACAGGAAAATCTAAATGTTCTGCACTTGAATGCTGTGATGACATTTTGACTATGTATAGATTCACATTATATGAATGGTATTTTTCCCCAGCTCACCTTGTCTCCTGCCCCATGCATATCTCATTTCCTTACACCTGATCTAGCACGAATGAGTAGAATGGAGAAGCAATCTAGGGACCTGATGTCATCTACTGGAGATTTTGCCATGCATGGTCACTTCATGGCCTCTTTGGCATGAAGTGGTTCTCTGCACTGATGCCAGAAGCAACTGTCTAATGGGAGCTCTTCACTTGCATTTAAGGTCACATCTTTGTCAGAACTGTATTTCATGAAGCATTATCCAAGATCAAAGTGTTTGGCAGTTCCTCCTCTTGAAGCTAAGAGCCCTCCATGGACAATGTGGACTCTTTAATGAAAGCTCCTGAATCCTCACTCCTCCTGTGCAGACTGTTATCTCTTATTCCCTGATTCCCACTATACGGAACACAAGTTAAAATAACATTATGACTGTGCACAGAGTTTGCAGAAGTCCTTGCCTAAGGAGCTTTGTGGCATTACTGTCCAAGTGCTTCAGAGTCATTGGCACTTTATGGGACAACTCTGCAGGATTCATTAATAGAAAAAGACATTAGGGTGATGATTCGATCTCTATGATTCCGATTTCTACAGACATTGGAAAGCATTGTCCCTAAACTTGTGAAATACCAGAAAGTCACTTGTGGCTGGGTGGAAGCTTCCCTTAGATTAATTACCCATCCTGTTTGGGATGAATTGTATTTCTTCTGAAGGACTGGGTTTACAGTTTTGGGGTACTGCCCAGAACCAGCATGGTTCCCTGAGTATCAGGTAATACTGTGCTTAGTCCATGGCAGTTGCAGAAAACATTCAGAAGCAACAACTCTACAACAAAATCAATTTTCATATGATTGGATATAAAATTTAAAACAACTTGGCTGTAAGATGACTAATACTTCTGATTTCAGGTGTATATTCCTGCTGGAAAACCATACCGGTCAGAGAGGAAACTGAGAGGTTCGGAAGAATGTGCCCACCACAGCGCAACTACAGATTCGGAGCTGTCTGGACTGGAAGACAAAGTGGCTTCTGCTATGGCTCAGGTGCAGCACACGGAGAGTGAGGTAATCCTTGCTTTGCAGAAAAAGAAACATCAATTCTCCCTGGTAATCTCCTGACTCAAAAATGAACACAGGGAAGTACTATTGCCCCTCTGTTTGTCACAGGCTAGACCTTATCGTTAATGCTATGCCCAGTTTAAAAAGGATTCAGACAAAGCAGAACAAGATTGCAAAGCTGAACAGGGGACTGGAAACCATGCCTTATGGGGAAGAACTCAAAAACTGAGCATGCTTGGCCCTGAGAAAAGAAGAGGGAGGAAAGATAGGATAGGATTCTTCAAATACCTGAAGCATTGTCCTACATTAGGATCTGTTTTCAATCACCTCAGAAGGCAGGATATGTAATGGACTCAAGTTACAGGAAGTTCAGATTTTTATTGAATATCAGGAAAGGCTTCCTAATATTTAGAGGAGTAGAACCATGGAGCCAATTACAGTTTTTTTGGGTGCTCCTGGATTCATCTCTGAGCCTTTCATCTCTGAGCCTGATGTTTCAGCAGCAGCCGGGAATGCCTTTTCACATTTAAAGCTAGTGCACGAGCTGTGCCTGTTCCTTGAGAGGTCTGATCTGGTCCCAGTGAAACATGCTTTAGTTACATCTCGGCTGAATTACTGTAACACACTCTATGTGGGGCTGTCTTTGGAAAGTGTTCAGAAACTCCAGTAGGTCCAAAGTGCTGCGGCCAGGTTGTTGACTTGGGCTGGCTAGAGGAATCACATAACTCCCCCGTTACAGCAGCTCCGCTGACTGCTCATTCATTCCAGGCACAACTTCAAGCATTGGTTTTAACATATAAAGTCCTAAATGGCTTGAGTCCAAGCCATCTAAAAGACAGGATAGAATCCTTGAATGGTAGAATAATGCAGCTGGAAAGGGGCCTATAAGGCCATCAAGCCCAACCCCTTGCTCAGTGCAGGAATCCCAATGAAAGCCTGATAGATGGTTATCCAGTTTTCCCTTGAATGGCTCTAGCATTGGATCATCTCCTTCTATGAGCTGGCCTGGGCATTCAGGTAATCAGGGGAGGCCTTTCTCTAGCTCTCATCATTCTCACAGGTACATTTGATAGAGACAGAGGAGAGGGCCTCCTCTGTCGCTGTTCCCAGGCTATCCTGATCTTTGCAGGCAGGTTTTTTCCTTAGTGATTTGTTGTATGAAAGGTCATTTTTTAAATAGTGCTCTGTTGCTTTTAAATGTGTTTTTTTAGTACTGATTCCATTTGCTGTTTTTAATGTAACCCTTGTTTAATTTTTTAAAAAATATTTGTATACTTAGTGTTTTAGCTTTTAAATATTGTCTACTTAATGATGTAAACTGTCTTGGGTTGTTTCAAGTAGATAGGCAGGGTAAAAGTATTTTAAATAAATAAACTCGGGAGGTGGTGAGTGCGCCAGTGCTGGAGGCATTCAAGACAACTGTCTGTCAGACCTACTTTGATTTGGATTCCTGCACTGAGCAGGAGGTTGGACTCGATGGTCTTATAGACCCCCTTCCAGCTCCATTATCGTACGAGTCTATGGTTCTTTGAACTTCCCCACTTCCAGTCTCGTCTGCTGTTGCCATGTGCCTGCAGCCTAATATAACAAAGCAGCTGAGGGTTAGAGACAAGCAAGGGATTTGGGGATCTCCTTGCTTTATGCTGTCTTGTCCCTCCCACCTTAATGATCCTTTAGTTTCATTTGGTTTTTTTCACTTGTTTATCAGAAGCCAGCTACATTTTCAACCCACAGCTGCGTGGTGGGAAGAGTGCTGGTTTGTTTGTGGAATCAGCTCTACACCATGCATGTTAATTTCTCCTCTGTGGTGCCTCCCGAGTCCTGTGATGTCACACAAATGACATTGAGCCATGCAAGGAGCTTGCCTGGCCTGCCTGCGCAGGCTGCAGTTGCATTTCCTTGCTATGCCACAGCTGCACACACTCCTCCCCCTCCCCTAAAGGAATGACCTATATTTGCTGCCTTGAATTTTTGTCCACTGCTGGGGCAACTCAGTCTGAGCACAGGAGTCAGAAATGAAACAAATATCACTCAAAGTTGCGGCTTTCCTGTTTTTAAAACAGGCAGATTTGACCCAATGGCCTGCTCTCTACTATGATGGTCCAGAGTGGCACTTCAACCTATATGTAACCCCACTGTTCCATGTTTCCAATGCAGAGATGACAGAAATCCAGAGAAAGAGCATCTTCTTTCTGTTAGGACAAATCCTGCACAAAAAGTGCAAGTTCAGAGCTGTAAATTCTATGAGTCTATGATACTATGAATAATTGATCCTAATTTTAAATGTACTCGTTTTCTCTACTGTTTGTCATACATGACTGCTAACACATGACTACCATGTTGCCTCTGTGAAATCTGAGTTTAATACAGTACATTAGAAGAAGGACAAGGTAAAACCTGTAACAGAACATGGGGTGGAATGAGGAGATTTTAATAAAAATGATATCAAAAATACTAAGATGCAAAGGACAAATATCTGCTGTTCTAGACAGAAAATCCACATTGCACAAAAAGAGCCCACATCAGTGATATTCACATGTCATATCAGATGAGAGGGGAATGATGTAACAATGTCCAAAATATCATCATGAAGTACATTCCAGTACCCATCAGGCAAGAAGCCAAAATTACACAAGGCAGACCAGACCAGCAGTTTCCAAGTAGGACAACGTATTTCTAGGAACCAGATTCCAGGGCTTAGTCTGGGTGTAAGTTTTACATTTTTCAAAAAGGCCCATGAATAGCATCTTCTGAGGGTTTTTTGTTTGTTTGTTTGTTTGTTTTTTGTTTTGTTTTGTTTTTTGCAATATTGCTTTTCCGACTGGAATGGGTACTCGGATTTTCTCTGGGCTGTTTTGAGGGTAGTTATATAAGTTCCCTCTAATCAGATGAGATGGGTGAATTTTGTGGGTTTCTCCTACTCAAGAGTCAGGCTTCCCCCCCTCCCCCGGTATAGGCATTGGACTGTTGTTCCCAGGTTCCCAGATTGTTTTGGGTCTGGTTGCATCAGTCCCCCCTAGCTGAATTGAGTTGGTGGATTTTGTTGGCCTGCCCTATGTTCTCGACTGTTTTTGCAATACTGATTCTCTGCCCAGAACAGGTAATAGAATGTTGTTCCTTAGGGGCTTTGTGGCATCAGTCTCCTCTAGATGGATGGAATGTGCAAAAACTCATTGGGCTGACCTGCTCAGAAGTCACTGTTCTGGGCTGGTTTTCACAATAAGTTTCTTCCAGGAACCAGTAGTGGAATGATATTCTTGGGGGCATTCGGGGGCTGGTTGCATCTGTCTCATCTAGTCACACATGTGTCATGAATTTGATTATCCTTACTCACAAGTTGGCATTCCGGGCCACTGTGTTCCATTCTGGCAGGTTTTTGGGCAGAAAAGGGCTAATGAAATTTTTTGTTGTTGTTGTTTGAGATCTCAGATATATTGGCCTGATGTTTGTTCATCACCTCCCACTGTTTCTGGCATAATTTTTTATTAAGAAGTCCCCATTCCACCTTGTTCCATTTCATCCTATCTCTACCTAGTCCCATTAAGAAGCATCAAACAGCATACTTTTGAGAATGTCTATAAATAGTATGGTCATTAGACAGAGAATAACATATTTGCTCAATTTGCAGAATGCATCATTAGCAAAAAAACAGCTATGGCTATTCGTAGTGCACCAGCTAAATGAAATAATCTCCAGGATCAGTCTGTCTCTATAACAGTTGCCAAGTGAAATGACACTATTGCTGCGGTGTCTTGACTTAGATATATATTCTGGCAGATTTGTTCAGTTACTACTATTAGAGAATGATATGTGCTATTTGCTTTTTAAAGGTATCTGATATAGAAACTCGAATAGCAGCTCTGAGTGCTGCAGGGCTGACAGTTAAACCAGTGGAAAAGTCCAGGAAGAAATTAAGCACCCAAGTAAGTAAGCTGGTATTTTACAAAGAATGCAGTGTGTATTCATGACAATAAAACAGGGACCATTAGGGCCCTTAATGTCAATTTAACATAGAGCAGAAGTAACTAAAATTTTCTGTATTACACTGATTCATTAAATTTGCCAGTAATAGCAGGATAGAACACTGGTATTTCCTACTCTCATACGTAGAAGTGTATAGGAGCTCAGACTTCTAAAAACACTCTCCATGACTGAATTTCAGCTGAGAAGGCCTGGACAGTTTGCCTACTGGCAACACATTATTCATTTCCTGGACTGCAATTCTAAGCATACTTAGTGTGTTGAAGATTCCATTGAATTCACTGGGACACCAAAGTGTCAAAAAAGAAATACTAAGAGTTACTATGGCTGGGTGTTTTCAAGTTTGACCAATGACTTTTAAAGCATTTGAAATATTATGTAGTGATAATTACTCTCATAAATTCATTTGCAAAACTCATTGCTTAAAAGAGTAAAACAAAACTGTACATGCAGTAGAACTTCAAAAAAGTAGGGAGCCAATCTTCCTCATTCCTTTTCTCACTTTGGGAAAAGTTCCCATTATAATGTAGCTATTATAATAATGGGAAATATTTATCTAAAATGGGGTGTGTGTATGTATGTATATATCACCATTTTAACCAAGCCTGTCTGTTTTTAGTAGGCATTCTAGCACTTCCACATGATGTAGATACACAGCAATCTGAAGCATAAAAGCCAGAACAACTGAGCCTTCACACTGAACAGAAAGTTAGCTGTATAATTTAGCCTGAATGTTAATTGTGATATGTCCCACCAAGTTAATTTTATTTAAAGTGACCTTCCCAGGGCTTTCTAGGTACACTAAGAAGAGGTTAATGTTCTGCAGTGCTTTGTGATCATAGAGCAGGCCAATGGACAGGTGGCAGAACATGGTGTAGTGGGAATTCAAACTCCTGCTCCATCTCACTGAACTACAGCAGGTCTAATATGGGCTAAAGGCAACAGAGACCCCATCACAGCTTGCAGACATGTAGTTGATTTTTTTGTGCAACAAACCGGAATAATGCATTTCTTGCCTTCTACTTCTAGGTAGTTGCCTTCCAGACTCCTAAGAATGCATATAACTTTCTAGATGATCAGAGCTCAGACTCTCCTGCTACAGAATCACCAGAAGACTTCAAAGTAAGTGCACATAAAGGGACATATACCAATAGTAGACAAAGTGTAGCCTTCCAGATATTGCTGGAAAACATCTTGGAGCATTCTCTCCATTGGCTATGTTGGCTAGGACTGATAGAAGTTGCAGTCCAGTAACATAAAGAAGGCCATATGCCCAATTCTTTCCTCATATGGTTTGGTTTCCAGGCCCCTGATCATCCCTGTCGCTCTCCTCTGAAGTTGTTCCAATTTGTTAGCATCCTTCTTGAAGTGTGGTGCCAGAAATGAACACAGGACTCAAGATGAGATCTCTAAATCTGATGAAGGGTATTGCTCTTTCCAAATAGAAAAGCAACATGTTTTTGTGCCCAAGTGTAACACAGTGTACACGTGTAACAAATGTAAACTGGCACTGTTAGAAGAAAAAGTGGGAGAACTGGAGCAGTAAGTAGCTACACTTAAGACTATAAGGAAAGATGAAGCATACATTGACAGAATTCTTGAGCAGCACCAGGTACTGGTGGGGGAAGAGCAACAAAGGAAGGCAGAGGAAGAGGAGAGAGCAAACACAGTGGAAGAAGACCCATAGAAAACAGTCACTATTAGGAGCAAAAGAAGGAGAAGACTATTTTCTGTTGTGGAACTGTGAAACTGCTTTCATGTTCTTGATGAGGAATCTGGCAGACAGCAAGCAGATGAAGTCAAAGAGGAGACCATGCAGGAGTACATGAGAGGGACTGAAACTCAGCCAAGTAGAAAAGTAGTTGTAATAGGAGACTCACTACTGCATGAGATGAAAACTGAAGTATGCTGAGAAGATCCATGGATATGCCAATTAACTGGAGCACAGATTAGGGATGTGGCAGAAGGACTGCCATCACTCATAAAACCCATAGATACATACTTTATCCCTTTCTTCTCAAACTTTCAGAAACATAAGGACTTTGGGACCCAGATAGTTTTCTCACATATAAATCATGCTGGTCCATGAGAATCCATGCCTTGAATGGGTGTTTTTGCATCACAGCAAGCAATGTGCTCATTGATTCATGATTTCTGTGGTGTAGTCTGTGGACCTAGATGGGACCTATGTTTGACAGTGGTTTGTGGAGGATCTCATGTAAAAACCATGTGGATCCATGAGTCCAGAAGCAAGCTATGGTTTCCCATCAAGGGCATTTTGTTGTTGTTGTTTAGTCGTTATTCATGATTGGTGTAGTCTGTGGACCTAGATGGGACCTATGTTTGACAGTGGTTTGGGGAGGATCTCATGTAAAAACCATGTGGATCCATGGGTCCAGAAGTAAGCTATGGTTTCCCATCCCATCCCAAGAGTCTCCTCCAGCACCACAATTCAAAAGCATCAATTCTTCAGTGGTCAGCCTTCTTTATGGTCCAGCTCTCACTTCCATACATCATGACTGGAAAAATCATAGCTTTGACTATGCGGACCTTTGTCAGCAAGGTGATGTCTCTGCTTTTTAAGATGCTGTCTAGGTTTCTCGTCGCTTTCCTCCCAAGAAGCAGGTATCTTTTAATTTCGTGGGTGCTGTCACCATCTGCAGTGATCATGGAGCCCAAGAAGGTAAACTCTGTCACTGCCTCCATATCTTCCCATCTGGGCCATGTGTGTGTGTTCAGTCGTTTAGTCGTGTCCGACTCTTCGTGACCCCATGGACCAGAGCACGCCAGGCCCTCCTATCTTCCACCGCCTCCCGGAGTTGTGTCAAATTCACGTTGGTTGCTTCGATGACATTGTCCAACCATCTCATCCTCGGTCGTCCCCTTCTCCTCTTGCCTTCACACTTTCCCAACATCAAAGTCTTTTCCAAGGAGTCTTCTCTTCTCATGAGATGGCCAAAGTACTGGAGCCTCAGCTTCAGGATCTGTCCTTCCAATGAGCACTCGGGGTTGATTTCCTTTAGAATTGATAGGTTTGTTCTCTTTGCAGTCCAGGGAACTCTCAAGAGTCTCCTCCAGCACCACAATTCAAAGGCATCAATTCTTCGGCGGTCAGCTTTCTTTATGGTCCAGCTCTCACTTCCATACAACACTACAGGAAAAACCATAGCTTTGACTATTCGGACTTTTGTTGGCAAGGTGATGTCTCTGCTTTTTAAGATGCTGTCAAGGTTTGTCATTCCTTTCCTCCCAAGAAGCAGGCGTCTTTTAATTTCGGGGCTGCTGTCTCCATCTGCAGTGATCATGGAGCCCAAGAAAGTAAAATCTGTCACTGCCTCCATATCTTCCCCTTCTATTTCCCAGGAGGTGATGGGACCAGTGGCCATGATCTTAGTTTTTTTGATGTTGAGTTTCAGACCGTTTTTTGCACTCTCGTCTTTCACCCTCATTACAAGGTTCTTTAGTTCCTCCTCACTTTCCGCCATCAGAGTGGTATCATCTGCATATCGGAGGTTGTTGATATTTCTTCCTGCAATCTTAATTCCAGCTTGGGATTCCTCCAGTCCAGCCTTCCGCATGATGTATTCTGCATATAAGTTAAATAAGCCTCCAATTTTCCTGAACAGATCTCTGGTTTTTCCTTTTCTATTATTTTCCTCTATTTCTTTGCATTGTTCATTTAAGAAGGCCCTCTTGTCTCTCCTTGCTATTCTTTGGAAGTCTGCATTCAATTTTCTGTAACTTTCCCTATCTCCCCTGCATTTTGTTTCCCTTCTCTTTTCTGCTATTTGTAAGGCCTCGTTGGACAGCCACTTTGCTTTCTTGCATTTCCTTTTCTTTGGGATGGTTTTTGTTGCTGCCTCCTGTACAATGTTACGAGCCTCTATCCAAAGTTCTTCAGGCACTCTGTCCACCAAATCTAGTTCCTTAAATCTGTTCTTTACTTCTACTGGGTATTCATAAGGGATTTGGTTTAGATTATACCTGAGTGGCCCAGTGGTTTTTCCTACTCTCTTCAGTCTAAGCTTGAATTTTGCTATGAGAAGCTGATGATCAGAGCCACAATCAGCTCCAGGTCTTGTTTTTGCTGACTGTATAGAGCCTCTCCATCTTTGGCTGCAGAGAATATAGTCAATCTGATTTCGATGTTGCCCATCTGGGCCATATTGCTACCTAATTAACAGCACATGTAGCTTTCTCCAAAATACCATCCATAACATGCAGCAAACAGCAGTGTCCCAGACATCATGCCAACTTCATTTATACACCGGATGCTCAAGACTGCCACCAAGGCATTGGCAGATAAATCTTCATGGGTTCTTCACCACAAAGCCATACTGCAAAGCTAAATCAGTTTCATGGTGCAAGACATAGCAGTGCAATTAGCATATTAAATGGACAATGAGACATGCAGACACGTCTGCAGAAAATTACTTATCTGCAAGGTAATTAATAAAAATTTTAAGTCACGGTTTCAAATATAAAATAATGTCTACCAAGTGGTCTTCCAGAGAAAAATTGCTCCACATCAACAAATTAGAGCTATGGCGGTTATAAAACCTTGCAAAGCTTTCAGAAATCTCCTCACTGGCAAGATGGTACAAACTGCCACCAACAACAGCACGACAATGTACTACATCCTGAAACAAGATAGCACCCACTATCCAAGTCTCCTCTATTTAGTAGTTGACCTCTGGGAGTGGTGCCTAGCACATCATATCTGCCTCACAGCTTTACACATTGCCGGCCACAACAACAACTTGGCAGAACTACTCAACCGCACAAACTCGTAAGCTCATGTGTGGGAGTTAGACCAATCAGTTTTTCTTCACAACAACAACTTGGCGGAACTACTCAACCGCACAAACTCTCAAGCTCATGTGTGGGAGTCAGACCAATCAGTTTTTCTTCACCTGTGTGAATGATGGGACAAACCAGCTCTCGACCTCTTTGCCTCCCATGTAAATTGGAAGTGCAAACAATATTGTTCCTGAGCTGGCATTGGCAAACACTCCGAAGGAGATGCATCTGTCAGCTGATGGTCTCACTTACCTTTTTCCGCTGCTCCCACTTCTCCACAAGGTCATAGTTCACCTACAACAGGTATTTGTAGTTTACCTGAGAGATTAAAGGGTGTGTATGTTTCTCTATTGTATATGTTGTACCTACTCACATCTTTGCTTCACCGTTTCATTAAGTCCAAAACAGCCCTTCAAAATATTTTGGCACAAAGGGACTACAGCCACTTCCAAGCTATTCTCACTTCTGTCTTCTCCTAGTAACCATAGTGTAGGTCATGTGCTTATCTTCTGGAATCCTGTACCATTTACACTTGTTGAATAACAGCCCTGACAGTTGCTTCGTGTTTGGGTGAAAAGAGGTTTACTGGTGAAAAAAGGAGTTCAGCTTCTGGGAGGTTCCCTTTTGTGGTTTCACATCATGAACAGAATTGAACAGAAGAAGCTATTCTGTAAACCATCTTGATTGCTGCCATTGGTGTTCTCAACATTCGGACTGCCCTCTGGTATATAAACTTGGCATCGTTTTTCTGCTGGAAATGCAGGCGTAATAGTGTACAGTGATATCAGTCCATTTCCTGGTGTTTTTTTAAATCATGGCTACAGAAGCACAATATCCTACATTCATAAACCAGAGGTTCTTTAAAGAATTTAATTAATGAAGGATTCAGGTACAAGAAAACAATTTAGTCAGTAAAACTGAAAGAAAGAAGGCATTCATTTGTTTATTACTTATTTTTAAATCACATACATTGCTGTTCAGCTATGCTTCCATGTGTTAAGGGGAGGGAGAAGAACTGTGTTCTAGAAATATTAAAGTCACCCACAAGATGCCTTGTTTCTTCAGTTGTTGTTGTTGTTACCAGTAAGACCTCTCCTGGTCTCTCTGACACTGACATTGTAAACTTTTTATCAGAAAAAAGGCACTGTATTGAAAATAGGGTAACTGATGTACAGAAGAGAAGGCTTGTGGAGAATAGTCACACCATTTCTAATTATATTTGTAACATCAGTGCATATTTTGATGAGATAACGAGGTAAACTGACTAATCAGTAATGCTCCATTGTAAGGGAAGATGAACGAAAGCTACCTTTAAGCTTTGATAAAAACAAATATAGTGAAACCTTAGTTACATGTAGATTTATTTCTTTTAGGTAATGTCTATGCCACATGTGTTGAGGAGAAAATTCACCTCTTCTCTTGAGATTTCAAGTAAGAACTGTTCTTATTTACAAATGAATGGGAGAGGCATCTTTAGTGGTTTGCTTCAATAGTCTAGCAAAATTACTAGTGTTGCATGAAGGATTGTTTATGGCCTCTGAACATGTGAACAATGCCAGGAAGACAAATAATGTCCAGCCACATCAAATTACATGTTCTGTACAGCTAAGAAAACCTCAAAATCTCTGCACAAATTAGTGATGTATTGATGAGTTAGGGATCAAATGCACATGGAGTTGATTCTGGTTGATTCATTGTTTTCTGTAGTTCTCCCCTGGCAGTACAGTATCTGCTGCTGAACTGCTGTTGTGGTTCACATGGAAATGATTACTTATCCCTGGAAGGCAGTTTGCGAGAGTCCACGCTGCACGTATAATCACTGAAAATCCTTTTGGACTGTAGTGACATGCTCTGTGGGGAGCTGCCTTTGAGAAGTGTTTTAGAAATGTTGGTTGCTCCAAATAGCTACAAGTCGGGCTATTGGCTGCGGACTTTCCTGTTACAATAGCTTCTCAGGCCACCACTCTGTTTCTGGACACAATGCAAAATGCTGGTTAATATTTTTATATAAAGTCCTATAAGACTTGTGACCAAGCTACCTTAAGGACCATAGTCTCCCATATAAACATGTGGAAAAACTCTTCTCTTGGTACTGCTGCTACTTTTGATGGGGACACAAGAGAGGGTCTTCTGGGTGGCAACTTCCAGGCTCTGGAACTCCCTGCTTGAAGGAGGCTTTGTTGGCCCCAATCCGTTGTCCTCCCAATGGCCAGGAAAAGCCTTGTTCAAACAGGCATTTGGCATTTAAGTTGGATTGCTAGGATTTTAGCTTATTAGTTGTTTTTATTTCTTTTTATTGATTTTTAAAATTATACTTTGATACTGTTTTATGTTTATTTAGAAGCTATTGCTGAATGCCAGTTTTTCAAAGGAAGAAAGGAAGGAAATAGGCAGTGCTGGCAAGCGCCATTGTTCTCAAGGCATAATCTGGGCTTGGGCATCTAGCTGGTACCTGATAGGTAGTATTTGCATCCCTAGCCACAAGCAGTGTGCAAAGCTGAGCCAAGCAGGGGGTGTCTATCACAGAGGAGTCTAAGAATGCCAGCAAGAAGTTGACTTCTGGGGTGCTCATATAAAGGGCAACGTAATAAATAATGGAAAGCATCTTCGACCACTCCTGATCCACAAATACAGAGTCTTTGATGAAAGGGGACATCATCATTTCTCCCCTCCAAAATGGCTGATGGTGTATACTGAAAACACAAAGCTGTGAATGCTTTTCTTAAAGCGGCTGAGGTTAGATTAACAAAATAATTCTCCAAACCAAATGGTGTTTTGTACAGAGGGAACCAATGAGAATAGGACATTATTGAGATGGCACACAAATCCAGCCAGTTAGAGTGAAGAGTGATTTTTTTTTCCTTGAAGCAAATGCTTGGCTCTATTAGAGGCAAAAGTGAGCAAGGAATCTGTGTTGATCCCATAGGTCTGTAAAATGGGTCTAACTGAGTTTACCCAGGACAGTTCTCCTGACAAGTTTAGACAGATGATATTTATGTGTTGTCTGGAGATAATGAAGGCAACACCTTGGTAAAGAGCAGAAGAGATGAAATATTTCTTTCCTTTTATAAAGTAAATCTTTAGTAAGATAATGGTACTTTCACTTCAGTTATGCCTATAGAGTGAAATATACAGGCCAATGGTATACAAAGACAATGCAGTCAGTTGTATTTTTCAGAAGAGGAGTGAAGGAACATACCTCTCCTGAGGCCAATGATACACAAGGGGCTTGCAGAAAATGCAGACAGGGAAATGAATTGAACGATTGCTTGAAAAAAGGTCACAATATCCAGCCCTATAAGACTAGAGGTTTTTGTGTTCTATGATTCTGTAGCAACTTCCTGTGTGGTTGTAAAAAGTAAGGTCTTTTACATCAGGGGTAAAAAGCAGTCAGGCTTCTGTTAACTTTCTGGAGTTTTTACTAGCTCATTGACGTCTGCCAACTGGAACCAGGTACATAATGGGCACTGAGGATAAGCATTCCAGATGTAACTAAGCATGAGCCATTTTACTGTGGCACGCCGTAATAAATGTGTCTTTCTTTAATTTCACAAGATAATGCTGATACATTTACCCGGAACTCGTATTACAGAGGATCTTTGACACAACGAAACCCCAATGGAAGAAACAGAAAAGCAGACCGCATTTTTGCAGCAAGTATTCCGTGTCTATACGATTGCCTTTAAACAGTGGTGATATGTTAATCATCCTCTTCCACAGACATTAGAGAAGAGTCCAAACAGCAGGAGCTAGCGTAGTTTGTTCAAAATGCATTTCTTTCAAAATTTCTAAAATTCATTTCCTTAAAAAAAAACCCTAACACAACCAAAAAGAAACAGGAATTTCCTTCCTGATGAGAGCTTATAAATGTTCAAGGAATTTTTAAAAAACACAGCATGTGGTATCTTAATTGATCCAGCACAGTTGATACGAGAACATGCAGATTCTTGAGTAAGAGAGAAAGTAAGAACACCTAAGAGCAGTGTTACAATCTTTCCATTATAAGAAGGCATGTCATTCCCTTGATGTGAAAGATTGCAACACTGTTTCCTGTTGGTGCAGTAGGTTTCCTTGCATCCACAGTCAGCACTGTGATTCTTTTTGCAGGGAAATGACTCCTAACAGTTACAGGAACTTCTAGAATTGAAAGTGATTTTTTCCTTCCCAACCTGGAAAATCCCTGAGGTGCTCAGGGATCTTACCCTGTAAGTGGGATAAGGGTGATGGGTTGATTCTACTTCTTGAATCCAAAAGCATTCACAGTGCTTTTTTTTGTACTTACAGAAACCTGTGATGACCCATCGACCTTGAAAACAATGAAGTTTTTGAAGGCTCAAGAATCTTATCCTTCATTTGTTCTTCCTTTTCTCCCTTCCATCTGCCAATTTGCATGATGAAACCAAGAAAGAAGGCATTTATTTTTTCCCATGGAATTTGGGTCCTATTCTCTTCAAAATACCAGAATCCAGCTTAGTATATGAAATATCCTTCTTGAGATGGACTTAATTACTAACCCACATCTAATAAATATGATGCCCGACTAAAATTATTTCAATTCAAATGTATCACTGCTATGCATCCAGATTTTAATTATATGAACAAGTAGATCACAGCCATGTGGTTTATAACTTTTGGACTTCCAGAAGTTTTGGACTTTGCTCTCAAAATTCCTGAGGGCTAATCTGTTGACCAGAAAATCTACTACTTGGCCTGTTATCTATAGCTGCCTTTCCGTATTGGCTGCTGAACAATTGGTTATCTCTAGATACGTCTTGCTGTCCTTGTTCATTAAATCCTCAAGTTCTGACTGCGGAGATGTCTCCTGAAGACTGTATGCTTGCTTATAATGCCCATTTTGTCAATAGTTGCTAACACATCTTTAACCAACTCAATTCTAGCATCTTACAGCACTGTAAATATATTGTTGTTTGCCCGAAAGTTTCATAGAACTCTTTATCGCTTTTGATATACCCAGACAATCTGGAATATTCCTACTGAAATATGTTTTGCAAGGCTCTGGTGCTCATCAGAAATACAAGCAGGCATGTCCTAAGACAAGCTTCCTCCTAAGCATGCTTCAGGCTAAAATGACAGATTTTCCTTAAATTAATAGAGAATGGCTGTGCCTAGGTTCATTTTCTATTTAATGGAGAAGAAAATTAAAAGGCAGTAACAGTGTATAGGAACTATAGCTCAGTGGTAGAACATTTCCTCCCAGAGCCTTGTAGGTTCAGTCCTTGGCATCTTCAGTTAAAAGAATGAGTAAGAAATGATGGGAAGGACCCACCTCTGCTTGTGTAAACATGGAGAGTGACTCCTCATTAGAGTACACAGAACTACCCTAGATGACAACTCTGCTAACATTAGGCTGCTTACTATATGTTCTTCACAGTTAGTATCATGCAACCGTCGGTCTTCCAGGCAGCTTTAACAGGGTGGTGGTTGTTTTATTATTTAGTACTTTCTTCAGTTTTAGAAGCACATTATGCAGAAGCTTTAGGAAGCAAATTTCATTTGTTGTTGAAGTCAAACATAGAGAATAAATAAAAGTAAGTTTATCCCCTGAGCATGTCACTATGACAAATAAATGATAAAATCCTTATTTTTATTTTGGCTTCCTTCCAGTTCTGCACAAAACAACTAAAAGCTTCATGTTGTTTATGGCCTAAACTTACAGTCCAAATTCAACCATGTCGTTTGGTGTCCAATACCAGCAGAACAGGGCATTCCCTTCCTCTCTCCAATCTTTTTTGCAGCCCTCCATGATGCAGCCCTCTACAGGGTTTCCCAGCACATGGCCTGAAACATTTTTAGGAAGTACAGTGGGCTGTGGGAGGGGGAGGGCATTGTCCTGTTAGAAACAGTGACATCCAGTGCAAGCACACCATTGCTTTCTGGCCGCAGTTTTCTCTCCAATAGAAATTGTATCCTGAACCAAGTGGCATTGCTGATTTCCAGCTTTATGCATGTAAGCACGCTCAAACATAGAACTGAAATAAAAGTTCATTGAATTCTACATCTGACATATTTCTCATTTTTATCCCACTTTCTTTGAAGCTCAGACCTTGTTGCTCATATTCCTGTTTTGGTACCCTCAAAGCCCTTTCTGAAATCTAAACTTTCATCCACCTTTGACATTCCAACTTTTATCTGTTGTTGCTTTCAAAAGCTAATTTCCATTCTTTGTATTTATACTAGAGCTGGTCTTGAACCCCCAGTTTGGTTCATGCCTCCTCCAATGGGCACCCAGTGAGAGCCAGTGCCCCAACCTCCCCTCCCCGAGGCACTGCCTCTTAGTGGGTGCCCACTGGAGGAGGTGGTCCTGAAAAGTGCCAGACACCTGTTTCGGCTGCTAAATGAACCAGCACAAACCAATGAACAAGTGGTTCATGCCCATGTCTAATTTGTACCAAGTATCCCACATCTAGATTTCCAAAATTGTATCAGTGGGTTACAGCACAAACTTGGGGTAAAGGATGGCACTGATCCATTTTTGGAGCTGCAGTGTCGGAATCCTGCTGACACACACTGCCCAAGCCGTTGGCCCATCCTGAAAGCACACAAATTTGCTGCATTCTGATTTATTTATTTTCAAGACCAAAAGGGAATGTCAAAATCACTTGTCACTTGAGAATAACTAACTTTCCCAAAAGAAGAATATGTATAATCTCTGGAAAAATTAATGTTTCTAGAATTATATGGCAACACATCTGTGGGACTGACTCTCTGGCACGTGATGGTAGAAGTCTTCAGATTTTTTTACACACCACAAGGTACACAAGAAACTGAAAGTGTATAACCCTACGTCTATTCCTTCATTTCCATAGGGTTATCTAGTAAAGTTTACTAAATGTTTTTCTGAAGTATAGAAAGCAACGGAATCCTTGAGGGTTTAGAGCAAAGTTCTCTGCTGCCTTGGGTTCTTTTTAAGGAGAAAGGTGGGATCAAACAAACAAACAAATAATAAATAAACTTAAATAAATACCATGAATATAGTTTTCTATAGAATTTCTTACTAGAATGTACAGTGGTGCCTCGCACAACGGTCGCTCCGTAGAGCGACGAAATCGCACAGCGGTGCCATTTTTGCGATTGCAAATGCAATCACAAAACGGCAGCACAAACTTGGGGTAAAGGATGGCACTGATCCATTTTTGGAGCTGCAGTGTCGGAATCCTGCTGACACACACTGCCCAAGCCGTTGGCCCATCCTGAAAGCACACAAATTTGCTGCATTCTGATTTATTTATTTTCAAGACCAAAAGGGAATGTCAAAATCACTTGTCACTTGAGAATAACTAACTTTCCCAAAAGAAGAATATGTATAATCTCTGGAAAAATTAATGTTTCTAGAATTATATGGCAACACATCTGTGGGACTGACTCTCTGGCACGTGATGGTAGAAGTCTTCAGATTTTTTTACACACCACAAGGTACACAAGAAACTGAAAGTGTATAACCCTACGTCTATTCCTTCATTTCCATAGGGTTATCTAGTAAAGTTTACTAAATGTTTTTCTGAAGTATAGAAAGCAACGGAATCCTTGAGGGTTTAGAGCAAAGTTCTCTGCTGCCTTGGGTTCTTTTTAAGGAGAAAGGTGGGATCAAACAAACAAACAAATAATAAATAAACTTAAATAAATACCATGAATATAGTTTTCTATAGAATTTCTTACTAGAATGTATTTCCAAGATACAGCTGAGACACTCCAAGTACAAACCCCCTGAACTATCCGGTGCCTATTCAACCTACTTATTATCAAGTTGCCATCAGCCATTGTGTCACAAATCTCTTCCATAAATATAAATTAAATTTATTGATGCAATCTGAATCGGGGAAAGAATCCATGATTTTTTCTTCAAAGGCCATTTTTTTCTAAGATAAATCAGGTGTTGAGCTGAAGATTTGGTTCTTCTTCGTGGCCTCCATGAATCACACCAATGTTGATCTGTGCCTGCACGGAGCCTCATTGGAAGATTCTAGACGAGAGCTTCTGTGGTAGCAATAAACACATTAGAATAAGCCCCTCCCCCATATAAGTACCTTCGCGCCAAGTGTCCCCTTTCAGTTTCTTTCAACCACTGCATTTACAGCCTCATAGTTCGTTCTGCTTCTGTGAGTACAGTGAAAGAGAGCTTAATCTTGATTCCTTTTTATTTTTATTTCATTTCTCTTACTACAGTTGAAAGTTTCCAATACTTTTATTAGCTTTTTCTTCTTCTCCACGGTCAACCTCCGGCCGCTTCCCCATCCAACCTCATTTTCTCTTAAATCATTTTTTCTAAATTCTTGGCCCCTTTGGGCTCTATGGCTTGGAAACGGGGATGAGCACTGCCCCCTGGAGTCGAACACGACTGGACAAAATTGTCAAGGGGAACCTTTGGTTGCCATTCGCCCTGACCAGTGCTCTTTTCGACAAACTGCACCTACCAGGTGACCACGCATTTTACCTGGTTTGATGGTACCATCTAGCAGTCAGCTCTAAATTCTTGGCCCTTTTGGGCTCTATGGCTTGGAAATAGGGATGAGCACTGCCCCCTGGAGTCGAACACGACTGGACAAAATTGTCAAGGGGAACCTTTGGTTGCCATTCGCCCTGACCAGTGCTCTTTTCGACAAACTGCACCTACCAGGTGACCACGCATTTTACCTGGTTTGATGGTACCATCTAGCAGTCAGCCTCCCTCTCGACAGCCATCGGTGTTGAAACGGCCATACCACAAAGACTCTTCTATACCTCAACCCACTCCCTACCTGGTGCCGAAAAAGCCCAGAACGGTTAAGCAATTTTCTTCCATTTGCGAGCTTTTACAGTGCCAGCCTCCTGATATTTTCCTACCAGACCAGATGATGGAAATCATTCTTCATGCTCCGCATTGCCAGCGTCTGCATATTCTACTGCTATGCCATCACATCAGCAACCTCCATTTATGATGCCGTCTCCATCTATCTCGAGTCATAACAGACATTATTAAGTCCAGCCTCTCGACACCGAAGTCAATTGACAGTCTGTCAACTCCAGATGTGACCTCGAAGGCTCTGACCATGGATCTCGACCTCAGACTCCATCGGTATTACTCACCTTAACAGAGTCTGACATTGTTGATATGGACCCACCGTCACTGGCACAGGATTTCCAGACTTATGCCCAATTTATTAGTCATATGGCTAAGTCCCTCAATCTCCAGGTCCGCCATCCATCGACAGAACCAGCCAATCATCTATACCGGAGGTCATCAACGACCGGTCCCTGGCCCGGTAGTGGTCCGTGGCCTGAGGCCGACCGGGCCCTGAAGCCAGACCTCCGACCCCGCCCCCTGCATGCACTCACCCCTGCAAACGCTGTTTGAGCCTGTGCGCACGCTCGTGCGCATGCATGAACGGCGGCGCGGGGCTTGTGCAGACGAGAGACAGAGTGGTCTGCTGGAAACTTAAAGGTGCCTAAACAAAAAGACACCGCTTTTCTACTCCTCTTTGAATGGTGGAGTGTTGTTAGTGGGTGGGGACTCATTTGGCGGGGAGGGAGAACAAGCGGCGGCCTTTCTTTGTGAGGAAGGAGTGCGGGAGGGTGAGCCAGCCCTTCCCTTACTCCCCAAACTGAGGACACTCAAGGCGAAGGAGAAGGGGGAAGCGCGGGGTGGGCGGGCTCGTAGTCCCTGCTATTGTGTTGGAGCCGAAGAGGGGCTGAGATTCTCCCTTG